TTTTGTTTTGTAAGTCTTCAGTTATCCACAGTCTGCACTGGTGCACAAATATTAAACAGAAAATTCCAGAAATAAACAATTGATCATTTTCAGTACCTTTTGTAACAGTATGTTGTTATAGTTATTCCTTTTTATTAGTTATTAATCTCTGTAATTTACAAAGTGAACTTTACCATAGATTTGTGTATAGGAAAACACATAATATGTATAAGGTTTGGTGCCATGCCTTGTTTTGGACATTCATAGAATGTCTTTGACCATCTTTCTGTGGAGAAGGGGAGATGACTGGAGAGAGAGAGAGAGAGAGAGAGAGAGAGAATATGAGGGGGAAGAGAGAGAATGGGGAGAGAGATAGAGAATGGGGGGGAGAGAGAGAGAGAGAGAGAGAGAGAGAGAGAGAGAGAGAGAACGAGCAAGCCAGCCAGTATTCCTTCAGTGGAGGGAGGAAGGGGACCTGAATGGTGGTCTTATTGGAGCCCAGGAAGTGGCAAGGAGTGGATTTCTGCATTCGAAGGATCTGTTTGTGCAGCCAGCATGTGCCCAGGGCCCGCCGGCTGCCTCTGCATAGCCAAAGGCCATTTCCAGGAGCCTCTGGCCCCTCAGTCACTGGCCTACTAGTTAATTGCCACACGGACTTCATGACACATGGGCAGATAATATGACATTTTCGGTTTCTGTCACTAGCAAACGCCACAACGTTGCTTGCACTAGTTGCTAAGAAGCTGTCAAAAACCATTAGCAGTTGGCTAAAGTTGCCCTATGGCATTTCCTCATAGCATCAGCAAAATGAGCATAAATCACCCACTGGAGCCTACTGCTATCCTAATGAGGCTGTAAGCTTGTTTATGGACTAGCATCATTTTTATGATTATTTCCACCTTTTCAGTTTGCCTTCATTTGGCGGCAGAAGAAGTCAGCTCCAGGAATGAAGTCACTGCTGACATTTTACAAATGTGGTTCAGAGCTGCTGCCTGCTGCCGTGTGGTCGGCCGGCGGTTTTCCAAGTTTGTTTAGTGATCTTAAAAATAAAAAAAGGAAATAAATCCTCCAGAGACTGCATAGAGGTGACTGTATCAAATTGCAGAGTGAATGGAAATGCTAAAGGTACAATTGACCATTTAGACTGTCCTCTGAGGTCGAGACGTTCTGAGATCAATTTTCAATTTTCGAAAGTGGAAGAGGTTAAACAATTTATTAAAATCTCTGAAAGTGTTTGCTTTTAGAATAGTCTGTTTTATTATGCTCTTCTCCTTCCCCATCTTCTCCATTTCCCTAACTGTGTCGGAAAGGAGCAGGGTTTATTGTTTTAGGCTTTTCTGAACATGCACCAGTATTTACACTGGATTGAAAGCATTTGCTTCCAATGAAAATCTTGTCTTAGATTACAACCCAGCAGTGTAATTTCCCTCCCAGATGGGAGTAAAGTAGCTGTATTTGCCTAAAAACAGTAGGAAGAACAAACTGTGCATTAAGCCAAGGCTGTTTTTGGCTTGAGCTAATGATGTAATAGAACCCTTTTATTCGGGAGAGGTCACTGCCAGGGACCGAAGGGGGTGATCTGGCTCCTGCTTGAAAGGTTTCTCCATTGTATGTACATAAGTCTTCACTTAAAAAATTCTGTTCCTAATGCTTCTGCTTTCATACAGCAGAAATAAACAGGAAAGGTTCTGGTGAGTGTTACACATGGAATGCAGAAAGCCTTGCTCTCCTAATGGAGTATATAATTCAGGTGCCCTCCAGGCACGCTTTCAGGAATTCTTTTGCCTGAGGTAATGGGGAGCTAAGGCTGCTTTAAGGCCTTGATTATCTATTGATGCACAAAGCTGGAAAAAAGTCATCTCCACTGGATTATAGTAGATATTTCCATAAATTATCAATGAATTCTCTTCTAGGCAGGCACTAGGCATTGCTTACTAAATTAATCTGAGGGGGTTTGAGATGGATAAGAAGGCTATTTTTTTTTAAACAGGTGGAAAATAATCGTGAAGAGGTAGGGGAAAGCAGAAATGTTAGTTTCGAAGTGTTTCATGTTTAATCAATGATCAAGTAATGTATTTATTTTCCTTGGTTACCTTTTGCATATTGAAAATGGATTAGCCCATGGAAATTTAAAATCTTTGGAAGTGTTTTCTTTTCTCATGTTTCTTTAATGAATTGTTATTTTATATGGTGAATTGCTTCTCTGTATAAAAAGCCTCTTTAACTACTGGACTTTCAAAGAATTTATTAGGCAAACCCAAGGGGATTTCTCATAAAACACTCCGTTATGCAAATAAAGACGTGGGTAGGGTGGGCGGGGCACTGATTTAAGGATGTGGGTGTCTCATCCAGTTCAGCCCCCAAAGCGCCAAGTTACAGCCACGTGACCTTGAACGAGTCACAAAACAGATTTCTTCACTGATGCAGTGAAGGCTTTAGAATCGGGGTCTTCATGATCTTTTCTAGTCAGAACTCCGGCTTTGATTCTGCAGCACTTTTGACAATGCATATTGACGATTAGAAATATAATACAATTACGGGCTTTAATAAAAGCTTAAACTCGGAAATATCTGTACAGATTTTATATTTGTGGCGTATCCTACAATAACAGCAGCAATATTCAAATTAGTCTGATCCTCAGCCTGTGAAATTTTTCAAATCTAGCTCAATATGTCAAGGCAATTAAAAAAAAAGTTGGGGAGCACCTTTTTGCACAACCCCCCAGGGAACTGGCTTGAGCTCCTGAGGCAACTGTTAAGAACAACTGATGAGTTACAACACAACTCCTATAAATTAGGCTGAGTAACTGAAATCAAAATACAGACTTCTTTCTTAAGTAGGACCTCACAAATAGACATGAAAAATACACAAGTTCATGAACCTGTGTAAATGAATCTGAAGCTATTTCCAGCAGTCACTGGGAAACTTGTCAGGCCAAAGTACCAGGTTCTCTGGGCTGTGTAGGTGCTCTCCCCAGTGACGTAGTAAGCCAGTGACCGTGCTCCAGGGCCCCTGTCTACGCCTGGCTTCTGGAGCTCTTCTTCCTGGGCTTAAGTCGACCTGTTCATGCTAAATGCTAGTAGCTTCACTGGAGAGTGTGGCCCCAGGCAACTCCACAGGAGAGAGCTGGGCCGAAGCTTAGCTACTTATGTGTGGGTTGAATCCATTGTTGTTGTTTCTTTTGATTTTTGTTGCCAATACGGAAAATATTTACTTCCCATTTGGACCTGGTGGCTTATTTTGGACACTGTCAGGTGTCCATGAGTGGAAATTTCATTTTTTTCTTATCAAATATGACACTGTAAAGGAATACTATTATTTTATTTCATGGTATCACATAGCCAACATATTTTCTAGAAAAAAGCCACCCTACTTTAATGTTTTAACAAAAATCAATTTTAAAAAATGATCCTATAAAAAAGAATATGTTACTGGGTGACATTTCAGTGACAAAAATTTAAACTTAGACTTTTGGACACTGCTTGTGTTGTTAGTGTAATATGATTCCAGTTTATTGTTTATTTAGCATTACTTTATTTCATTTAAATAGTAATTGTTTTCTAATTAAAGTGCTAGGCTGTTTCCCTTACTAGACTTAATGCTTTCTATTATAAGAAAATTTATATTCTATCAGAAATATTCCCATGTCAAACAGCTCATATGATGGATTACCTACATTTCTCCATCTTAGTTTAAATAGTCTCGAGATAAATCACTGGTGGAAATAGTTGATATCTTAAATGTATCCTCTTACAAGTTGATGTCAATGACTATATGTGGGATCCAAACACCCAAGTAGTGACAGCATCCCTGGTATGGCTGCCATTATATATTTGACTGCCCGGTAGAGTCACACATAATGTGTCTTAGTTATACAGATTGGAATAATTACCATGGCAACAAGGCCACAAAAGACATTGGATATGTCCCTCCATTTCCTTCAACTGTTAGCACTGTTCTTTGGAAGAATTCTTTAGACCTGATTACTTTTGAGTCTAGGTCTTGTTCTTTCTCTTTGTCTTGGAAAAAAAAAAAGTACCAAAGAAACAATGAATCATTTGAATTGCTCTTTTGGTTTTGTTTATATCCAAAGGCATTCTATTTGAATAAAGCATGTCAAGGTAGCATCAGTCAAAATTTGATTCACTATGTTTGCAGGTGATGGCTTGGACAACAGTGTAGCTTCCCCCAGCACAGGTGACGATGATGACCCTGATAAGGACAAAAAGCGTCACAAAAAGCGTGGCATCTTTCCCAAAGTAGCCACAAATATCATGAGGGCGTGGCTGTTCCAGCATCTAACAGTAAGTGGATTCTAACTGACATATGTAAACTAAGTTTGGGCAATGACCAGTTTTGGTAGAGGAAAAAAAAAAAAAAAGAATGATCCCTCTTGACTTGGAATATTTCATAAATCACTGTATTATCACACAGTTTTTACCGGAGTGTTAGTTCTTGTTTCCTAGCTCCATACCTCAAATAAGGAATTTTGTTTGAAGCTCTCTATTGCAATTTTGTTAACTTTCTTAAGTTATAAGGCTTAGGAGTCTGTGTACACTTGTGATTTTCCGTATGTATGTGAATGACGTTGCTTTTGCCAAGTGTGATCCTGACGCATTTAGAACCAACCACTACCCAAAAGAAAGTAAGATGAGTCAGGAAAGACTTCATATCGTTAGTGAGGGCTTCGGTGGACCTTAATAAAGAATGGTTCACAAAATCTTAAATCCAGTTGCAGTAGCAAGATGATCGCATCATTTTCTGTGAAGTGGCTTGCATGCACCCGATTCCATTACAAAATATCCCTGTGAGTCAGAGCTCCCAGTGAAAGTTGTCCCTGCATTTAGAACTGTAAAGGAAAACAGCACTATATAGTCACTCTTCCTGTGTAGTCCCTTGTGACTTTTCAAGCAGAGTAACAGTTTATATTGTCTGTGAGCACTGCTGTTTTCACTGTAGGAATTCTCCTGGAGATGTGAGAAACTAGAGAATTGGGCTTTATGCCACTGGGGGATTTGTTTTGTTTGGTTATTGTTCTGAATGAATATCATGTTCAAAATATTTATAACCATAATATTTTGGTGGATATTTTTATAAGTGCATGCAGACTTAATGGCATCTAAAGAAGGCAAAATGAAAACTTATAGACAAAATAATATTTTTAAATTCAGCAAAACTATTGACCAGATTTTCAATATTCAAAATAAAGGATAAATTTAAACAGGTTATAGTATCACTACATAGATGAATGAATGTTAAAAGCTTTTGCTATTTTTTAAATGTTAGGAGCACATCTTTTATGTTATTTTTAACTGGCTTTGCTTTCTTTAAAAATCATTTCCCCCTTAAATATCAGTGTTAATTCCACATCATCACAAACATTTCTGTAGACAGTGAGCTCTCCTTTACTCACTTTCCAAGTCATGTGACTCATGAGTTGTCCTGATGCAGAGAGATAAACTCAGACTATCTGAAGCCTAACTTGGTTCTTCTCCTCTGAGTAGGGGCTATGCCTTCGATAGTACTTAAAGGTATAATTTAATATATATTTTCCAGTATTGGTGAACAAAATAAAAACAGAGCAGCAGGAGGAGGGAGGGAGAGAGAGAGGGACAGAGAGAGACAGAAACACAGACACTAACAGAGACAGAAAGAGACTGAGTCAAAGAAACAGAAAAAGACGGAGAGAGAGAGAGAGAGAGAGAGAGAGAGAGAGAGAGAGAGAGAGAGAGAGACAGAGACAGAGACACAGAGAGACAGAGACAGAGAGACAGAGACAGAGACAGAGACACATACAGAAACACAGAGAGAGAGAGACAGACAGAGACAGAGAGACAGAGATAGAGAGACAGAGACAGAGACACACACAGAAATAGAGAG